TCCAGAATGACCCCCCCCCCAAGTATTTGCCCGGGGGTAGAAAGATCCGCCCTTGATTGCTGCCGTCTTGCGGTGGGGGAGGAGGGGAGGCAGGGGTGTTGGGAATAAGCTCCGTTTGGAGGGAAACTGGTTTAATGCAAAGAGTGAGGAGGAATCGGGGCTCTTATGGGTTCCCTTGGCACACTTCTGTCAAAAGTTCCTCTCCGACTATCGGGGGGCAACAAATGAAGCACTTTTTCAGAGTAAGTAACTGAAGGCGGGAAAGGTTTCCTGTGTGTGCGTCTGTTTTAAAGGGGTGTTTCCACCCCTCCCCGGTTCCCGCCTGGGTCCTCCCCCCTTGTAAATTTAGCAAGGGGTTATTTCCCCCCTCCACACACACTGTCCCCCTCTTTCCTTGCACCCCCGGGCCCAGCACCCCGCGCGCGGGGTGAAGAGTGGCGACGAATAGGACTCGGGAGGAAATTGGGAGGACGCTCAGAGGATCAAGCCCGCTGTTGCCGCCTTCTTCACTTACCCGCTTTCTGCAAATTGGCGCGGGGTTGTTAAGAACGGAGAAATGGGGCATTTTGAGAGCTCCCTCCCTCCAGCTTGGCAAGCAGAGGCTTTAGAATAGAAGTCAGCCCCCTCCCGCCCGGCAGAAAGAGGCGGGGAATTGAAGTTTTGTTTTGTTTTGGGTTTCACGAACCAGAGAAACCACAATGTATCTGTTTGTAGTCATAATGAGCTATCATAATAATGGATAAAATAAAGACCAGGAGTTGTACAGTATACAGTATGTATTTCTGTGCCTAGAAAACTTTTACATACAAAACCAGCTTCTAATGTACGCACAGTGGTGCTAGTTCTTAAACTGCTAAGATTCGCAGAGAATCCTGTGTATCTGCCTCACTCACAACTGGATTATAAAACTCACACTTCAGTGTAGCTAATACAGGGCTGTCATGTTTGTGGTTGTTTTCTGAGAAAAGAAGTAGAAGCTGCCTCAAGCAGGATCTTTAAATATGGTACAAAATGGCTACTGTGAGGCAATAAATGGAAGTGGATGAACCTGAGGTTGATTAGATGCCTATAAATGAAAAAACCTAAGGTAACCTTAAGTTCTAAGTGTTTATACAAATCTGTTACTTCAGGTTGAGATGGACAGTGTGCCGGTCTCCCAATTCAATTCACCTGATTCAGGTGTGCAAATTTTTCCAGGACTGGAACGTGACTGGTGTGGGTAGCTTGCCCGATGAACTTTCTTTTCCAAGCCTAGGCTTGTCACGAGGAAACAGGTGCCTGCCTTTCTGTGGTTGTCCTGGATGTACATTCCAGGACTTGGATTTCAGAAACATGCATTTGGATATGCCCTAAATTTGTGTGTTGGTCTTTTGTTTATTGTCCCTTATGTTACTGTAGCAAGACTTGATGGGGTGTGCAGCTGGCACGCATGCATGGAGACAAGAACTTAATTTTCACAAGCTAGTGAGGAAATTGTGGCCTTGAATTAACATCTGATCTTCTGTTATTTGTAGGGAAATAATCTGGAATTTCAAATAAGATGTCCAGGCGAAGGTAATGATCACTTTTATAATATATAACGCAGGTCCAGCAGTGCACTCCCCTCCATCCCTGATGGAATAAAATGTCTTTCCTTTCTACAGTAGTCGTTTGCAAGCTAAACTGCATCAGCCATGCCAGGACACATCTCCGGAAGAACTGCAGATGCCATTGTCACTTCAGAACAGAAAAAGGAAATCAATGCAGGTGGGTTGGAATTTTGAAGAAATCTTGGAGTCACGTGTAGAAAAATGATGGCATACGAACTGGGATGGCCTGATGTCAGTACCAGTGAATAATTCAGTACTGTAGCATCTGCAGGGCAGGCCAGGGGTAGGGGGAGAATGACAAAAACAGTATTCCCTTTTTTGTATGTGTATTGTGATGTGCGCACATAAAAAGGGCGTAGCTTGGAGCACAATGTTGCAGTGCTACTTTCATCACTCTGACAAAAGCATCAAGCTCCTTTGGATGCCATTGATTTACTTGTTAGCGTTAGAAAAGCTATATTTTGTATATATGACCGGCATTAGCATTTCAGGCATATGCCAAAGATCTGCAAATACTGAAGGGTCCAGTTTATTACTGCATTTATACCTATCCTTTTTTCTGAGAAATCATATTGGCTTAGATGGAGATCTGTTCTCAGGCCCACAACAAAAATCCTGCAGGATAGTTTGAGAAGAGTGATTGTTCCAAGACACACACTGAAATCTGTAACTGAGTGGGACTTTGAATACATCTCTTCCTGAATAAAATCCAACACCTTGACTACTACACTACAGTTGCTGAACCTGCTATCCCCACTGGTCCAATTTTAATTTAGGGTGACACTCGCCAGGGAGACCTCAAGCTTGGCACCGGCCCTGTTCATACATCACTTTGGTAGAAATATTTGACAACATACAACAGAATCCTCTCTACCTATTAAATATATGAAATTGAATGGTATTGAGTTGATTCTTGCTTGATTGTAAAAAACTTTAACTATTTTATTTCCTTTTTGATTAAAGAAACCATATATAGAGCTGCTTTAATAACTATGAATCAAAGTTGGATAGATATCAGGATCTGATAAATATTTTGAAAAACAAGCCATGCATTTAAGTTCTTACTGTTTTTGTTCCTGAGTGGGCTGTTTGAGAAGCTGTTGATGAATCTGGAGAACTGGATATTAGTTGATTGCCACCTAAGAATTAATGATTTCTGATTGTTTTCCAAAGGACTCCAAGATAGATGAAGAAAATGTGAGATATCAGTATGAAATTAAGGTATGGTTGATCTGCATAATACTGCTTTGAAATAGTCGGTCTCTCTTCTTCAGAATGTGGTAATTTAGAAAGTACATGTGGAACTCAATATAAGCAGAAAAATTTATTGTCAATCTAGTTTTAATAAACATGTAAGAAGGGGATCTGTGGCATGTTTTTCTGTGATCTGAAAACTAATAGTAATTGGCTAAAGAATGTTTAGATTAATAATGTTGTAATTTGTTTATGAAGAGCATTTTTCACTTAGGCAAAATTACTTTTTAGTTCCCAGAATATATAACTACTTAGTTAAAATGAGTATTGGCTGATGATCTGTCTAACATAAATCTATATTTAAAAAAAAGGAATAATGTTTCTTGAGGGTGGGGTAGAGACACTGCTGTTTATCAACAAACTATCTAAGAACTGTATTTTTATTATCTCATTTTTAGAGCTGCTGGCCACCCACAATATCAGGCGGTGTATCTCCTTGCATAATAATAGAAACTCCACACAAAGAAAGTACAACCACAGACTTCTCCAGATTCAAAAAATATAGGTTTAGGAATCTCTTCATAAATCCATCACCTTTACCGGATCTTAGGTAAACTAGATATACTGAAAGTAATTAAAAATATTGCTAAGCATTGATATATCTATGGAGAAAATAGGATGTACCTCCCAAGGCCTCATGCATAGTCTCGTGTATTAGCCAACTATTCCTAATAAGTAAGTGTGCTGACTGAAAGGAAGATATATACTATTTTCAGATGCATGCTACTTGCACAACTTTGGGGTATTCCCAAAGTTTGCAGTAGATTCCTTAAACAGGCTTGAAGTAGTGTCATCCTGCATTTGGACAATGTGCTTAACTGTTCAGAGAGATTTATAAGCCGTGGCTGGAAGCAGCAGTGCTCGGCTACCACCAGTGGTTCTGTGCAGAGCTGTGGGAGGCAGAATGTGTTCCCGCATAACCACTCATTGTTAAGGAGGGTATATAAATGGCCACCCTAACTTGGCTCCAGTGTTATATGGAACATATAAAGGACCCACCAATGCAGCTGTTTCAAGCGTTTGGTTCTTAGTCCAAGTATTCTATATATTGTCAGAGTTAATGCTAAAATCTCAAATCTTGATGGACAAGTTCACCTTGGAATACAATTGACTATTTGCCAGAAGAAAACTACCTAATTGTAGTTACTTACAGATCTTTCATTCCATGAACAACACTTAAAGATAACAGCTGCATTTCCTCAATATGACTGATGTATAGTTTCTCCCCCCCCCCCCCCCCTTTTT